CAAAAAAAAAAAAAAAAAAAAAAAAAAAAAAAAAGACTCAACTTACAAGGAGATGGAGCTGCTCTTCTGAGCTCTTCTTCCTCTGAAGGAAAAGGAAAAAACAGGAGGAAAACATTCTAAGTGACTGAGCTTCTCAGGGACAGCATATCAGTTGTTCATATTACATAATCAACAAGACACAGGTAGGGAAACCTGTAATAATGTAAGTTCCCACCACCTGTAGTAGTTGTTGTGGGTGCCTGCACAGAAAAGCCTAAGAAAAGAGTAGTATATGATGTCAGGAGACAAAAATTGGGTTTAAGTAGATAAAGTTTTAGAAAGTCCGTGAAAGCTATATATGTAAAAGATAAACACAAAGCACACGATATGGTAGAAAACTTTGAAGTATAAAGAACAAAAAGAAAAGAATATCATTATATTCTACTCTTAACATTATTTCTAAAACAAAGCTTTTGTTTACTTACTAAACCAAAGCTCCAAAGCTCTTATAAAATAAAGTTTGGTTGTTTTGTTAAAGGAAAGAAATCTAAACATGAGAAAATACAATAACTACTAAAACTTTATCACTGCCCTTTACTTGAAGGGTAAGCCAAAAACAAACTAACCACAGTTTTATTAACCCTTTCATACACACTCTACCTATCATCCTAAACTTAATTTAAAATTAAGATTAAATTAAAAGTATTAGCAGAAAATACTCCAAATTTGAGTCATAAATTTTGGACAAGTTACTTTAAAATACATTACACTTTACTAACCTTTCTTATTTCCAATAGGAATATTAGTATTTAATAAAGATGCAAAAGAACTCTGTTTAGATAACTGAGCTTTAGCTGCTAGTGCATTATTCCACAATGCTTTAATTAACATGGATGCCAAGTACAGTGTCTAAAAAAAAGAGAGAGAGATTAAAGTTGGAGGCTTTTAGGCAACACTATAACAAAATTAACACCCATTTGTCTAACTGAAATGTCAGCACTAATAAACTACAAGTTAAACTATGTAACAAATTCTCACTTTACAGGAAAAAAACAGTTGTTTTTTTTTTCTAATTGACACATAATTGATTATGCGTATTTGTGGGGTACAGAGTTGACTATCGGAATTTGTGTACAAAGTGTGATGACCAAATCAGGACAATGAGTATATTCTTCATTGCAAAACATAATCATTCTTTATGTCCATTAACCAATTTCTCCCTAACCAATTTTTTTGTGTCCATTAACCAATTTCTCCTACTTTCCAAACACCTCTAGTAACCACAGTTATGTACTACAATTATGTTTTGAATATATTACCTGTTCAGTATGAACACTTGGCTCAAGAGCTGAGACCAGATTAAGGAGATGTCTGAGTGGTACAGGATCCAAATTCTTGATGAGTGAGGGAAATAAGTCATGTATATACCGACTACAATGTTTCAACTAGAAAATAAAGGTAGAGAGAATAGTCAAAAATAATTGCCCTACATAAATAAATTACCTGATATGAAAAGTTACATAGTTTGAAAAGTCAAGAAGTTGGCCAGAATACCAATATTACTAAATATACTGGTAAAATGCCAATTACCTAATATCGTAAATAACAGATCATAAAATAATGAAAATATGACTTAAACAAATTTATCTTAACCAAACAAACACAAGCTTAATTTCCTAGTCTCAAGAGGGAAGCCCTTAATAAATACAGTTTCCAGGAAATATTATTTCAGGTATATTTCGCATATTAAATGTTTATGAAATAATTATGTAACACATTACTAGAGTACACAGTAGAATCTCTTATCATAAAGGTCTATATAATAATAAACCATGAGATAGAAAAGTTCCCCTTTTATAATAAACAGAAGTATGTAAATATACAAGGGAAAATATGAACATATGACTACTCAATATTACAATGCCACGAAGGATAAAATTATATTATAGCTATACCATTGCTAACTGTGAAATCAATCAGAGCAAATAATATAAGATTAGACCAGTAATTCCCAACCTGAGAGCTCTCAAATAAAAAGCTGAGGTTTGCTACTTATTTTCAATACATAAAAAGTTTATAAGAAAGTATTGATTTTCTGACACCAAAATATTGATTTTTCTATTTTGCAGATATAAACCATATGAATTCTCTTCTGCTGCCTCCCCGATCATGGTAAATGTACACAACCTAATTCTGAAGCACTAAGTGAAATAAAAGTAGTGAAATAACACTGGAGAAATTCTTCTGTGTTGGTGAAAGTTCTTATAAACTACACTATTTTGATACCACTATTTACTTCAATGCTAATTACCCATTTAAAAAAAAGATATGAATAATCAATTATAAGTTTAATACTTTTAATAGGTCTCTAAGAACATTAATTTTAATATAGTATTAAACATTATAATTAGACTATATTAACAGTTTATACTTGCTTTTTGCCAACAAGTAACTATTATATATGTTTTCTAATAAAAATGTGATAAAAACATACAATATAATAAACTTCTGATTTTCTGCCCATATGATCATTAATATAAGGGAATTTCCATAACATACTTAATTTTGATAATCAAATACCTTGTTGGTTATCTCTAACTGACAAGAACCTTGAGAGAAAATTATGAAATCCTGTAACTGAGGCAAAAACAAAATAGGTTCTTTTAGATGTGCACATTATGATAGCAAACTCAAAAAGTACAGAAAAGAATATTAAGACTGTATGGCTCAAGTTTCTGGTAAAGTGGGCATAATGAAGCTACTTCACAGACTCTCCTTCACTAGTTATCAAAAACAGAGGAAAAGGACATCAGGGAAAATGACAGAACAGAAAGTGCTAGGAAGTCATCTCTGCAACTAGACAACAACTGTACTGCAGAAACTCTCTGATATAACTATTCTGGAACTTGGGAATAATTTGGAATTTGACCCCTTACACATCCAGGGGAAAGCCTGGTTGGTAAACTGTAGTTAATATCAGCAAATATCAGCTTTCAGCACTATTGCTGCTACCCATTCCAAACCCTCCACCCTAGCCCTATGGTAGGCAGCTATAGGGACAGCAATACAGGTTTCTGGTGCAACTTATTGGAGCCAGAGTGGGCAATAAGGAATGTCTTCCAAGTTTTGATTGCTAGCTCTGATTGATGAGGTACAGGCACAGAGGCTGGCTGCCACTGTTTCAACACAAACCACCCGAAGTGATTACCAAAACAATTTACAGGAACTGTACCTGTTTTGTGGAACAACATTAAAAAACAACTGCATATGCAGGGGAATTCAGAAAGCTACCATGGATGCCGAGAGAGAGTCACAGGCTTGGAAAAGACCTGAGCAGACAGACTATAAGCTTTCATATCATGCTAATTACCCAGGACAGAGAAATCCTAAGAAAATTAAAAAAAAAAAAAAAAAAAAAGGAAGAGCAAATCCTGGAGTAGGAGGAGAATCTGATTTCCAGAGTTATCACGTTAATTTTAAATGTCCAGTTTTTAAGGAGAAAAAGAAAAAGAAAAAGAAAAAAAAAAAAACATGAGACATGCAAAGAAACAGGGAAGTATGGCCCATTCAAAAAAACAAAATTAAGTCCACAAAAAATGTACCTGAAGAAGCCCACTTGTTGGAATTACTACACAAAGACTTTAAAACACCTATCTTAAAGATGCTTTAAAGAACTAAAGGAAGACAAGGAAAAGGCACGAAGAGAATGCATGAACAAAATGAGATTATCAATAAAAAGGCAGAAATTATAAAAAGAAATTTTTAAAAATACAATAACTGAAATTCAAAATACACTAAAGGGGTTCAAAAGCAACTCTGAGCAACAAAAGGAAGAATCAGCAAACTTGAAAATTGGACATCTGAATTTTTCGAGTCTGAGGAAAAGAAAAAAAGAAGGAAGAAAAGTGAATAACCTAAGGGACCTGTGGGGTACCATGAAGCAGACCAACATACTCATTGTGTAAATCCCAGAATGAGAAGAGGAAGGGAAAGAACACTTAAGAAATAATGGCTGAAAACACCCAATTTGATGAATGACATAAATCTACAAATCCAAGAAGTTCAGCAAACTCCAAGTAGGATAAACTCAGAGACCCACACCCAAAACACAATACAATCAAATTGTAGAACACCAAAATCAAAACAAAAGTTTTAAAAGCAGCAAAAGTTGGGCTGGCCGGTTGGCTCAGTTTGTTAGAGCACCACACCTTATAACACTGAGGTCAAGGGTTTGGATCCCTGCACTGACCACCCACCAAGGGAAAAAAAGAAATAAAGAAAAGGAAAGGAAAGGAAAGAAAGAAAGAGTAGCAAGAGAAAAGCAATGCATCACATACCAGAGATCCTCAATAAGATTATTCACCAATTTCTCATCCACAATCTTGGAGGCCAGAAGGCAGTGAGCTAATACATTCAACAGGCTGAAAGGAAAACTTTCAACTAAAAATTCTATACGTGGCAAAACTGTCCTTCAAAAACGAGGGAGAAATTAAAACAGTTGCAGAAAAACAAAAACTGAAGGAGTCTGTTAACACTAGACCTACCCTCCAAGAACTGCTAAAAGGAGTCCTTTATATTGAAATGAAAAGAAGTCAGACAATAATGAAGAAATAAATGATCCACTATCTACCAGAAGATCACCTTCTAGCCAAAGATACAAATAGAGCGAATGTGAAAGGATGGAAAAAGATATTCCATTCAAATAGTAAGCAAAAGGTTGGGCTTGCCATACCAATATCAAATAAGAAAGAATTTAAATTTTAAAAAGGTTACCAGAATAAGTGAAATTGCCATATGATCCAGCAATCTCACTCCAGGGTATATATCCAAAAGAATTCAAAGCAGAATCTCAAAGAGATATTTGCTCTCCCACAGTCACTATGTCATTACTCATAATAGACAAAACATAGAAGCAGCCAGCCATCAACAGATGAATGGATAAAGAGTATATGGTATATACATACAATAGAATATTATTCTGCCTTAAAAAGGAAGATAATCCTGCCACAATGCTAGGATATAGGTGAATCTTGAGGACATTATGCTGAGTGAAATAAGCCAGTCGCAAAAGGACAAATACCTTATGATTATATTACATGAAGTACCTAGAGTAATCAAAATCATGAAAACGAATAGAAGTATGGAAATTGCCAGGGGCTGATGTGAGGGGAAAATGAGAAGAGTTGTTGTTTAATGGGAATAGATTTTCAGTTTTGCAATATAAAAAAGTTCTAGAGATCTGTTACAAAACAACGTGATATACTTAAAACTACTGAACTGTACACTTAAAAATGGTGAAAGGGGAGAAATCATAGTTTTGCTTTTTTTAAAACCACAATTAGTGTTTAAAAGGTTACCAAAAATAAAGGACATTATTTATTAATAAAAGGTTCAAGCCCAAGAAGATATAACAATTATACACATGATGAGGGAAAAATTAACAAAACTGAAAGAATGAAAAGTTCTACAATAATAATTGGAGACTTCAATAACCAACTTTCAGTAATAAACAGGGGAAAAATTAACAAAACTGAAAGAATGAAAAGTTCTACAATAATAATTGGAGACTTCAATATCCAACTTTCAGTAATAAACAGAACAATCAGACAGAAGATGAATGAGGAAATAGAGGACTTGAACAACAAAATAAACCAAACAGACCTAACAGACATACAGAATATTCCACACAACAACAGCAGAAAACACCTTGTACTAAGCACCCATAGGACACTCTCCCAGATAGACAAGTTAGGCCACAAAAGAAGTCTCAACAGATTTTAAAGAACACATATTATCATACAAAACATTTTCTCCACCTACAACAGGATGAAGCTAAAAGTCAATACTAAAGGGAAAACTGAAAAACTCACAAATATGTAGAAATTAAACAATACATTCAAAGGAAAAATCACAAGGGAAATTAGAAAATACTTACAGATAAATGAAAACGCAACAAACCAAAATTATCAGGATGCAGAGAAAGCAATGCTCAGAGGGAAATTTACATCTGTAAATGGAAATTTATCCTTACAAATATAAATGTAAATTAAAATAGAAGAAAGATCTCAAATTAACAACCAAACTTTACAATTTAGGAACTAGAAAAGAACAAATTAAATCCAAAGCTAACATAAGAAAGGAAATAATAAAGACTAGAATAGATAAAATATAAAAGCAATAGAGAAAACTTATAAAACCAAAAGTGGGTTCTTCAGAAAGATTTACTAAGAAAAAAATACGACATAAATAACTAAAAGCTGTGATAAAAATAGACATTACTACTAAATTTACAGATATAAAAAGGATTATAAGAGATAATATAAAATTGTACACTAGAAAATTGGACAACCTAGAAGACACAGACAAATTCCTTTTATGAAAAAAAAAAACTCAGAAAATGAATAAGGGAAAATTCTTCAACACATTACAGGTTGTTTATGAAAAA